CTTATTTATTTAATTTAAGTATATTAGTTATTGTATATACTACTAATATATATATATATATATATATATATATATATATATATATATAAAATATCTTAATATATAAGTTAACTGTTCTCAAAAATAAATTATATCTTAACATATCTCTAAATAAACATGACCGAAAAATATCTCTAAATTACCATTCGATCACATGTTTAGGGGTTTCCCAAATCCTATGTTTCTGGATTTGAAATTTTGATGGGGTCTCCTAGCACATAGTCCTTTGCTGCCTTTTATTAATATAACCTTAACCACGCAAAAAAATGTCAGCAATGTCAAGATGATGAAGTAGCATAGTACCAAAATATCACCAGTAATGTTGAGTAAAGGTGTTATTCTAGTACTAAATTTGCAACAGGGCTGCAGAAAAAGCTCTGGCAGCTGCTTAAATGAAAATGCAGCATAGCATTAATGAACAAGAAAGATTGTCCAATGAAACTGCCCGTTGGGCTAATCTAAATGTACCAAGAGAAAGAACAATACCAGTGCAGCTACTCGTACATCCAGCCCTAACATCGTCCTTGCCGATTGTAAGCACTCTGCAACATCTTTGCCAACCTGGAGACCGAGTAACCAAATGAAGGTACAATAAACAATAACTAATTGAAGAAGATGGCATAACATTTAAAACCAATGAGAGTATTAGTTAGAAACTAAAGTACCCAAAAGGAACCAAAGACAACATAATATAAATGTATCAGTCTTTGCAACCTAAATACTAAATACTATGTAGCCAAATATATATTGCAAGAAAATCTGTTCAGGCTGCAAACAAAATGTTAGATGGTCCTTTAGCAGCGGCCACAAAGCAATTAAAGAATGTAGCTCATTTATCCAAATGATACCACTAGTGTTTTTATTTTTCCTATAACGCAAAACCAAAGGTGATGAGAAGGATGTGCAACTAATATTTGAATAATTACTAGATGTACAGCCTCGCACTATTTGATGTCGCCATTTTATAATTCATTTGTTGAATCAACAGTTACAAATATGTTTAAAAGAACATTTGGGATATTTGATCATAAAAATTAAATGCCCATCACATAATTTTGTCACGAAGTTGTGGCATTATCAATTTCAAATAGTACCATCAAATCCAATGGCAAGAAAACTTTACAAAGAATCAAATATCCCAAGCATGTTATGGCTTCTCTAATCCTACAGAATCTAACTATCTAGTCCAACACAACCAATGAAGTTACCCCTAAAACTACTAAACAGAACTTACAATTTTTCTCATAAAAGAAAACCTCGAGCAAACCAGGATCTAGACCAAATTTTAACCTCTCCAACAGGCAAACCAATTTCCTAAAGTCAATCATAAATATAAATACTAAGAATTAGATTTTGTCATGTTAGCATGTAATGAATTTGGAAAATGGATCAGCAAGAAGGTATTAATCAAGCCATCTTAGGTACTAGATTCACCATCTTTAGAGTTCCCATATATCCAAGAAATGCACAACATTGTGTCCTCCAAAACTTGCTCTTTCCCATGTGTTCACAAGTACTACTCAGTAGAGAAGATCACCGGCCATGATTCATTCCACCTTGCGGAAGAAAAAAATTGATGTTTTTAAGGTCAGGAATATCGCAAGTTCCATGGGTGAATTATTAATAACATATACAACCCTCCAAATCCTGAATCTGGAGGACATAAGCAAAAGAATTCGACAGGATAAACCATACAGGCTTCCAATACCAAAATCACTCTATCCAGTTTGTCATTCCTTTTCACTTTGCACAAGGATCCTGTGAACCCAATAAACTTGTAAGTTCATTTGTTATCTGATTCATACGCGCTCCTCCTCAGATTCAAAATCCAAAGAATGCCTTGAGATTGACCCAAATACAGCCTTGCACTTGCTACCAGATTATGAACAAATGCCTAAATGGGAAATAATGATACGAAAGCTTCGCTGCACCACCTTAATCCTATAAGTACATCTCCCAACACATACCACAACAATCCTCAAGTAGTCTTCCATCTCATCAATCATATCACTGATCACCTTCCAGGCCCCTGAAGCATCGCATCCCAAATTCCATCCTCTTTAAGCATACTTTTCCCATATCCATGTCCCAGGATAAACCTGCTCTTTCAAAGTGGACATTAAAATTCAGATAAATCCTTTTGGACAACAATGCTTGGCTAACCATACAAGCATGAAGCATCATACTACAGACATCCCACCTTTAGGCCTGTGCAACTCCTCCTATTGAACTTGAAGCCCTTCCTGCCTCTGCCTGGTAACCCATCCTTCCACAAACTTCCTTTGGCAATATCTTGATTTGGTGACCATCCAAATTGAAATATTGTAGAGACATAGAAGAAATTCGGTTATCAAAAAATGTAGTGTTACTTTTTAAGCCGTTTAGGTTCTTACTAATCATAAAAGTTCACACAATGCCATGAGACCAAAAACTCTTACACATTGGTGAAAGTTTAATTATGTGGATGGGTCCTCTTATCCATGTGGATGGGTCCTCTTATCCATGACCATTGTTATTACTTAAGCAACATCCCTTAATTTTCCTCCCCACATTCATTTCCATAACTCTAATTTCTCCAGATTAACCTTTCTCTGGATACTTACTTGAAAATGTTAAATATTAATTGCAAGACCAGGGCATGTCAAATGGTTCTCAAATGTACATTCACCCAGGGAAAAACCTTCAGTACAACTCAATCATAATCATGCTCAAATAGTGTATAAAAACAATGACAGCAGATTTTCTTACCTTAAACTGCTACTGCTCTTAAAACATATGCCTTCGGTTTTCCATTGATCATCAGACTGTGTGCAAGCAAATTTATCTCCTATACCCCACTTGTCCGAGCATATAATCCAGGGTTTTTGTTTTTGAAAATCGACTTCAGCCAACAGCCAACTTGGAAGATTTCAAAGTTTTTCCAATTTAATTTTATAAATTACATTTGGATTTCTAGATCAAGACTACAAATTAATGATTCCATGTGCAACCCATGTCTTTTAAAAGCCATCTGTAAATCAAGAAAGACAAATTACAACACATCATTGATCAAGGTAGGACTTTGGTGATCCTAATAGGCCACCAACTAGGCTTTGTCATTATTTTGTTTTACTCTATATGGGCAGTCATTGAAAGCCCAGTCGAGGCATGATACCTCGGCTCTAGAAATCGTGCTCAACCTGCAATAAGACCCCCATCCCTTTCTTCCTCTTTTTTGTATTTGGGATCAGTCGATGGTGGAACTCAAACCTGGTACATAATAACTAAACTAAATTTTTTAAGGTTAGCCCATCTACCTGAATTTCCAAAAATTTAAGACTGATTCAAAACAGAAATTTCAATAGATTTGACTCAAAACATGTCATTTATTCCAAACATGACAGTAATACATCCAGTAAGAAATCATTGAAGTGATGCAAGGGTTCTATCATATAACAATGTACCAATACATTGAAACATAACATGCAATGGCCACTAAAAGAAGGTGATTTTGTAGACAAATCGCAAAATAATTTTTCTGGTAATATATCACCTATTTTCAAGTGAAATTTTGACTTCTCAAAACACATTATAGAATATAAGAGTTTCTAGAACTCAACTAAAAATACCAGTACCCATTGGGATAAGCTACTGCATCATGCTTTGCATGAATAAAGCCGCACATCTGACGGTAGTCAACAGGCTGGCCTATGAGTGTTCAGATGACCCCTCCCCAATTGAAACCCAACATAAAACTTGGATTATGGCCAGTAAGGAGAAGGCTAAACCTTAAACCTGCTCCCAATCAAACTATGTTTGGAATGTTTATTGACCATGCATTGTTGAGACTTGGGCAGTGCAAGTATTGACGTCTCCTAAATAGTCAAATTTCTCAAAGCTCTCATATTATTGTTGATCATCATCATCATCATCATCATCATCATCATCATCATAATCATCATCTTCATCATTGTCAAACTCTTTTCCCAACTAATTGGGGTCGGCTACAAAAGTATCTTGGTCCGCCATTCTGCTCTATTAAGGGTCATACCCTTAGTGAGGTCACAAGTCCCCATATCTTTTGCTTACCCCTTTTGAGCCTACTACTTGAACTAACTCGCATCTCCTAACAATTGCTGTATTGGGTGTACGCAGCATATGGGTAGTTTACCTAAGTCTACTTTCTCTCATCTTATCGCCTATTGGTGCCACACCTAAATTCTCTCGAATGTATTCAATTTGAATTCTATCCCTTCTTGTCTTTCCACTCATTCATTTCGAATTCAATCCCTTCTTGTCTTTCCAACATAACATAAGATACCAAAATAAAATTGTGCAATCCATGCATCTTTTAATTTAGGTTTTCGCTCTACAACTTACTTCTCTTCTTACATTGATCTCATAACGACTTTTTCAACATAGATGGGAGAGTAGATCAAGTTAGACTACAACTTAGACTACAAAACAACCTCATCCCAAGATCTAGCCATATCCAAGTTTTATTGCTTTCCATGGAAAGGATGTTGCTTCATAACCAGCTAAACATTTTCTATAAGAAAAACTCAATGACAACCATTCATAACAACTATGTGATCACCAAAATAAATCCATGCCACTCATGAGGATATCATTTACAACGATCCAGGAATGATATGCATTCCCAAAGCATTAGCAACAGTCAGAACCTGTTCTTCTAATGCATAATACACACCCGAACTTTATCCTTCTCTGTGACTTGCCTAAATCCTAATGATAACCAAAACAGAGGTTAATGCATTGCAATCAAGATACTGGAAACCACAGCACAATAAAATAAAACGCATAGCCAAATATTCATAACCACAATGATTTGACTAATGTAGCAACCAGTGTAATCCATCCCAAGTACAATCCAGACCATGGCATCCTTAGAATTTTGATCCACACAACTGATAAGGTGAATTTACACAGAAAGAAAAAAAAAAATTCCACAGAGCTGACAGAAAATACATTAGCCAAAATATAGCACAGAAAATTCATGAATGGTACTCGCTAGCACATTTTATTTGAACAGGCCAGAGGAAACAATATAATAAGCACATAACTGACAGAGTTGCATTTGAAAGTGGTAAGGAATCAGACCCAACAAACAGAGCAGGAACTCCCTTTGCCAAGCCAAAAAATTATTTTCCAAAACTTTGATCAACAATTTCAGTCTAGTGTTCATTGACAACGTCTGACCATGTCTTCGATTGCAAAGCCCTTTGTCCACTTGATAAGGAAGCCAGAAGAAACCGAGGTTTGCCTCACAGGAAATGAGAATGTAAAACCTAGATCTCTTCTACTGACTGGTTGAAGCTCAAAATCATCCCCTTCCTTCTCAATAAATCTCTTGAGCGTTAATGCAATGAAACCAAAGAGTTCCTACAAAAAGGGCAAAAAAAATGAGAGCACTAAGAAAAAAAAAAATGAGAGCACTATGAAACTGAGAATACAAATGCTTAAGAACACTTCATCAAAAAAAGGTTCAAGAAGAAAACAACCACATGGATAGGAATAATGAGCAGGCAATTATTTCACTAGAATTCCAATTCACAGAATAAGTAATCAAATTGTTAGACTGGCACCGAAAGTCAGCTACCTCACTTGTACCAGTTAATAAATGTGGAGGAATTGCCTGCTTCTCCACCTTATGATCCAAAATCTTTTGCTTTGTACCTTTGAGATGAACCCGCAAGACTCTAAAATGAGTGCCTCCCAAATCAAGTGCATAGTAAAGCCCCTTTTCATTGCTGAAACAGTCGAACAATCATAAAATAACCAACCAAGAGTGTTAGCCAGCACCTCACGTGCGTTTTCTTACAGTACCACATACACTTCTACTTCTCACTCATGGATGAATTCCCTTTTTTTTATTTCTTTTTACAAGTATGAATAAGTTCTCATTTCCCAAAGTAAGTGAATGAGTGAGTACTACCCATGGTATACATAATGAATGAATACCTGTGCACACCCACTTTTAGATCCACCACACAAACAGTGCACCAAAACAGACGGTGAAACCCAATTTTCTCTCTCATAAGAAAAAGCATTTTTTTCTTTTTTTCTTTTTTTTTGTTTTGGGGGGGGGGGGTAGGGGGGGGTTGGGAATGTTGACTATCCAAAAAAACATGTTCCTAGAAACGTGCAAATCATCTTAGCAAAGGCTCATCACAGTGACTGCACCAATATCAGTCCTGATTCCTATCTTCCAATTAAAAGAAATCAAGAGAATCCGGACAACCATCCCAACATTCTCTTACATTCATAGAACACAACTAGTACAACGACCTGATCAAGGCCAACCCAAGCTACAAAAAATGGTGAGCTTAACAAATAAAGGATGCGGGGATCTTTAAGCTGACAACTTCAAGTATTTTACACTCCAAAGCTCAAACCATAAGCAATATGTAACAGGGAAAAAAAGGAGCATCAAGCTTTCATACCTTAAGTACTATTGTAAAATATTCCCTCAAAAGAAAAAGAAAAAGAAAAAAAAAGAAGCATAGAAGTGGCAAGAAGCCACCTTGATTTGAATCAATAGTACTAGAATCTTGATTAGAAATGTCTTAGCATTACAATCAACTGCTATTCCAAAACAAAAACAGGAAGTATAAAACCAACAAAGGCCAGAAATCAATCTCGTTCATCGATAACACATGAAGCTTTGAAACTAATCATCATCAACAGGTTAAACAATACGTGGATTCAAGCAAAAGCTTTGTGATATCTAGAACCAAAAAAGCCCATACACAAGATGAAAGCCCATCATCCCAAAGTTTAAGAAGATGGAGAAAGAAAACAACTGACGGACACTCCAATACTCGAAACAAATCAAAATAGAAATGAATCAATAATAGAGTAAAAATCACAGAGAAACATCATCTGGTTCGGTGAGAGAGCAGCTGAAAACTGTACTCTCACTTATAAACAACCAAGAGACCCATCAAAGATCATCAAAGAAACAGAAACCAGGTTGGACTGAATCCACAAACAGAAAGTTTAGAGAGAAAAAAACAGCTTGTAGGGGTTTACCCATTAGGCAAGTTGTCGACGAATGTGAGCAACATTTTGAGCTTGCTACCACCTTCGGAGGCCAAGCCAGCATGCATCTCAACAGCCATAGCATCAACCACCTGCCGTAGCCTATGACCAGAGGTGGAGCACCCTTCTTCAAATTCTCTCAAAACACCAACCACTCTGCTCCATTTTGCTCGTCTCTCTACACCTTTCCTTACAAGAACAGCAGCTATCGCGCAAGACACCACCGCACACCCTACCGCTAGCCCGAAAGCCGCCCTCCCCATATCCAGAAAAACCCAACTGAAAAACAACACTCTAAACTACACCCATCCTCACACCCATCACCCCTCTCTCTCTCTAGACAAGAGAAAACCTAATGGAAAGAAAACCTGTCTCTCCTCTGCAATGGGTTATCTGCAAGGAAACCCAAATGGAGGCTCAAAATAAATTAGGTTTTGAACACTTGTCTCCTCTCTCCGTCTGTGTCCAGTTTCAAACGGCGTTGCCTACTAACCGTTTGAGAAATTGCTTTACAGAAGAAGACTGAGCATAAGTGGACTTTGAAGAAGGCTAGAGAGAGAAAGAGAGAGAGACTTTGAAGAAAGCTAGAGAGAGAAGAGAGGCGGCAAGCAGATTGAAAGTAAGCGTTACAGTCAATTAGACATGTCACCCGCGTTGAATGACGAGGACCTTGCTCTATTACCATAACTAATCCCTAAACTAAATTATTGTTTTTTAATCCGTCATTATTTTATCTCTGTCGCTCTGCTCTTTGTGGTTCTTGCAATGTTTTTGATTTGTTGAAGCAGTAATTTTCCATGATGCCAAAAATGACCTCACGTTTCCTAGAATGACTGTTAGCTCTAGTCCCCACTTTCACCACGTGCCCATTTTTGTATTCAGCAGTCAAAGTAATTGGAATATTCGTGGTAATGTGTATGTGATCATTAATACTGCTAATTATCAATTAGACTTGGCCCAAGTAGCTTATATAGTTATGCTCCTAATGGAGCATACTATCCATTTAACCCATAAATCCTATCTGGGAATATTTGTTAGGACTTCCAAATTTTGGAATCAGTTTCTAACCCGTAATCTCCAAATATATACACTATGTATTATTGGCCTTTTAAAAAGAAAAACCCTAAGATTGTATTTAGACTGTCTAATTTTTAACGAGTGGCATCTAAATGTCGAAGAACTCAAAACCCAAAATTTTTTTTTGAAAATAATTATTTGGTGATTCTCACGCAGACCCCAAAATTTCATATTGAAAAATTGTCGAAAGTCACCGAAAAGAATTAGAACACAGTATGCTTCCACAAGAGCATAATGTGCACACTCTTCATAGAAACAAAAGTGTTTTATGGGTCCACCTTTAACAATTTTTTAAAGTTAGAATGCGGGCAAAAAGGATTTGTGTGCAAGAAATCGTCTCTCGCATAAACTTTTATATTTCTTTTTTTCTTTTTTTCACATTCCATTGGCAATTTGCAATGCAACTTCACTAGCTCAGTAACAAAAGTCAATCAGCTATAAATGCCAAAAAAAATAGGTCTCAATGCTTGGGTTTTTTCAGAAAGGTGGGGGTGGCTTTTGAGACGTATACAACAAAAAATTTGGAGGAGAGGTACCAATGCTTTTGGGGATTATTTTTATTAGGAAATATGTTTAAATATAAAAATATTTAATTGGGGGGAAAATGTTGGTGGGTGAGCTCGCGGCTACAGTTTTGGACAGACAAAATCAACGGCGACCGTAGCTGCGTCGACGTCGTACGCTTTCGCCAGCTGTGCCCCGCTGCTGCCAGCTAAGCCCCAAAAGCGGGCGCGTACGGCGTCTTCGCTTTTACTCTTTTCTCTCCTCTAAATCCATTATCTCTCTCTCCTTCAATCGTAAATGCTATACCGGCTCGGCTAGGCTAGAATCGGCTCAGATCGGCTCAACAGCTCAAGTCGACAGGGATCAGCTCCTATCGGCTGGGTATAAAATCACGGGCGTTATCAAGCTAATGCCCCATGTATTGCGTGATTATCCGCCAAATTTATTTCAATATAACGGCTATTAATAAACGCCATGTAATCCCAACAAGGTATATTGTATATGTGAGCCATGTAGGTTTGACGGTAAGATAGCTTGAATTACAATGTCCTAAGCTGACTCTTGAACGATCAAATCTTGATATGATGACTTAAAATGTTTTAATTTTAATATTCATTTTATAAATTATTTTATAGTAAAATTTGAGATGTGCATACATCTTGACATACATGATAAAAGTAATGAAAAATATTTCATGATAAAAAAATACCAAAATACCCCAAAATTTTTTAAGGTATTTTGGTCAGTTATTTTCACAAGAAATATGTTATTTTTATTTTTGTTAGGTGCGTCCCAAGAAGGAGAAGAGACATCCATCCCGAATTTCAGCTAAAAAGGTTTTGTAAAAAAATTAAAAATCAAACTGTGTTTTGACATGACACAGTGATATGAGCAATCCTAACCATCGATTTATACGTTATACATGAAGGTTTCTTATTTGGATTTTTTACATTAGAAAGGAAATAATTATAGGGAAATGGCTTTTTATGTTTTAACAACTACGGCCGTGATCACCATCAGTATAGAAATAATTGGGTTTTTGTTTTCATAACATTTTCATATTTTTACCATTTCCTCATTTTTTGCCCGTTCTAACATGGCCAGTTTTTTCTTTCGTAACGAAGCGACTGTTACGAAAAGGTAATGTTGCTTCCAATGGTTTAAAAAACGGATCAGTGACTCGGATCGGGCTTCCAAAAAACAGATCCGGATCGGCGAATTGATGATCCGGATCGAGAATCGGGTGAATCGGTCAGAATAAAGCTTAAAAAAAATCCGAAAAAATTATTAAAATTCATTATAAATATTGTTTTTTAGGAATTCAATAAGAAATGAGGGTACTCCATTAAGAATTTTCATGTTTTTGAATGAATATGCGAATATTAATATGTTCTTTCCCTGTATGAACCGCCATTCAGCATTTAATTTACATCACACAAAAGGATAAACATATAATTATCATGGAATAAGTATATCAACATACATGGACTACAATAAAGTATAAAATTAGTAACATATGATCTAAAAATAAAATGATAGACGACGTTATTGTTCTTCTTGGTCACGCTGGTGCCATTAATTGAATTCGTTTAACAATTCATTGATTCGATCTAAAAACGAATCATCGATATTAGCAGGCGTCTGACTATTCTCAAATCCCTGAGTGTTAGTGTTTTGTTGTGTTCCCAATCTAAAATCCCCGAAGATTGTCCATCCTTCATGCTCACCTGCACTGTCGTACTCATCCCTACACTGTTGCTGTTGGGA